GTCGCCCGCACGCATTTGAGCTGTGGTCAGTTAACATACCATGAGAATAGTGGACGTGGAGCTCGAAATCCGCCATGTTTTTGCGGACACTTTTCATTTGCGAGCACGGTCTCCAGATATATATAGTAGAGCTCAGTGGATGGGCCTATCTGTGTCTTTATTCAATGTCGCAATTATTCAATTATATAACATTGAGATACTTGAGACCCATTGACATAGTAAAGAAATTTATAATACTGTATTAATCAATAAAATAGCGCGCAAAATTATTAATGCTTAGACTAGTAATATATATTTATTATTAATACAAAAATTATCCTATTTTAAAAATCCTTTTTGCTCCCCCTCCGGAAGTAAGGTCCGACCCCCTCCGGAATTCACTACAATATTAACAGCTCGTGCACTGTACCACGTCGTATCAGTGAAATCATTTGATTTTGTGCAAATTATTTGAATATTTTATCAATTGCTCAGGAAAGCAACTTGTATGCGACGAAATGGATTTGTATTAGACCTTCTTAATTTAATAAAATCATAAACGTGTCGGTGCAACGTGGCGCCGTTGTCACGTAGTATTTTGCTATCCATAGAATTTTTTTTACCGCACGTTCGCAAGCTTCGCACTGCAGGACCTCGTAGGAATAGTAAACAACAAAAGCACGATGGGGCAGGATAAAATATTGATCAAGAAACAGAGATGGTATTTAGGTGGTATAGCTTCAGGAATGGCTGTTTGTGTTACTCACCCCTTGGATCTGTTGAAGGTAGTTAATATTTTAATAATATTTGTATTCCAGGGTCCTCAGGTCAGGGGTGAAGACCTCATATTTTAGAGAGTAGCACTAGCGGGAATCTAGTGTGGATTTGGGTTTTGATTTGAGGTCTAAGTAGTTGATTTGAGGTCTAAGTAGATTTTGGGTTAGCATCTGGTTTCGATTAGAGTTAGGATTTGGACTAGAGTTAGAGTTTGGTTAGGAATGTGTCTCTCTATTTGCATGTTGTAAACCTGGCCAAGTACTGGTTGAGGGTCCTGATGGGGGGTCTGAAAATCAGTAAACGGTAAAATTTTTGGTATTTTAACGGTATAAATCTTTGAATCTACTGAAAAGTGTTTTGAAATGATAAACAGTATTTTTTCCCCTCACACTTCACTGTAAAATGTTTAGTGTTTTCATGACTGACGGTAACCAAAATTGAGCAATGACGACTCACAATATACCCCATCAACACCCTCCTGTTTTGTTTAGTCGTCTTAACCAACCAGCTAACTAGACTGCACGTAACTGTTGAGATGTGTTCTTGGAAAACTAAGCCTATGCTGACGACTGGACAAACCCATAATCATATGCAAATTCATCCAGTTCTATTATAAATTGCTAAAGTTAGCCATGCAGGAATTTGTCTGGTACGTTTCATGCTTGCCATGTGAACGGGCAAAGCAAAAGCGTGCAATTCAGTAAATGTAATGGAGGCTGACCATAGAGTGCCAAAGCATCAGGTAATGCAATGACAAAGTACTATTTGTAACTTTTTATCAAGGTTCATTTACAAACACAACAAAAGGTCCAGACAGGTTTGGCAGGAATGGCTGTTAAAGTCGTGAAATCAGATGGCGTCTTGGCATTATATAATGGACTATCAGCTTCAGTTTTACGACAGGTTTGATTAAAGCTATTCCACACATACATCCATGCAAATACCAATATACCCCCTGCAGCACATCCCATCCCTCCCAGAACATTAGCACTGAGAAGCTAAACAACCCCTGGAAACTCTACAATATCCTATCCCGGACAAATCTTGCTTGGCTTATGTTAATTTTATAGGCAGATTTTCTGTACCTCCCTAAAGTCTGAAGCGCCCACCAAAAAATATTCCCATTGAAATTTCCACTTTAACCCATCAGAAAAGTTAATATACACCAACGCTATAGTTTTGCAGTTAATAAATGACAGTGGACCCCCTCCCCGAACACCCTGTGTCAAATGGTTCAAAATCCACATCTCAATTTTCGGGCAGGTTATAAATATTTTGATTTAATTTAGCTGACGTATTCCACAACACGATTTGGTATTTATGAAGTTGGTTCTTCAAAATTGAGAAAAGGCAATGGTAGGGTGAAATATGTTTTAAGAACATAATTGCCATGTGTATAGGTTAATTTTTACCTTGGCTAAGTTGTTTACTCACATTATTTTCAGAGCCATTGCCATTCTATCAGAAACTTTTAATTGGAGCTTTTGGAGGTATGTTGAAATGAAATCATATGAAAGTTGATGATTCACATTGAGCATCAGTGCTCCCCCCTTGACAATTAGTAAAATTGTCTGGCTGTAGACAGTAAGATTGTAAAGTGGGATGCACTGGGGCACAATTAGAACAGGACGTGAGGGGTGTATGGGAAGAAAGAACACAAATTTCAGAAACATCTTATCATCAAGAAAACCAGACTAAAAATTCCAACAACAGTTGCCAATAACACTGTACAAGTGTTTGAAAAAGTTCACAATGAAAGCCAAACCTCCCGAATTTGAGAATTTCCAACTACCAGAAAGGTGTGCAAATTCTTTTCTTTTTCTGAAGGGTTTATTGGAGGTTTTGCTGGGAATCCTGCTGACATTGTCAATGTTCGGTAAATATATTATATACAACTCAATGATATATAGTATTTGTATTAAGTATACAAAAGAAATTAAGCACATATATAATTTTGATCTACATTTCATTACAGGATGCAAAATGATATCAAAATAGCTCCTGAACTTCGAAGGAAGTATGTGTATGATTAAATTTGGATTCATTGTTCAATTGAATAAATAGGATTTGTTATTCAAGAATTTTGTTTCTTCTAGTTACAAGCATGCAATTGATGGCGTGATCAGAATTGCTCGAGAAGAAGGCTTTGCAATGTGGATGAGAGGCGTAACGATGACCTCGTCACGTGGGATTATGATTACATCAACTCAGGTTAGACTATTCTAGTGTGACTGTATAGATCCATTGCACTGACATCACAAATCCTTAAGAGTGCCCTCCAGATGCTCCCTAACAATATCTGTTCAGGTACAACAACCACACACAGTGCAAAAATGAACCATTTTAATACAAAATTATTATAAACTTTTACAAAATTTGCTTTGCTTACAAAAGTTATATTATGCATAGATTGCTAATTTGACCTCCAGATGCATCGTCACTGGCACTGTGACGTCATGTGCAATGGGTCTACAGTGTATACCTACACATTGCATTCCTCCCCATACAAAGCAGGTTAAATTATTTTGTGATAACCTTTTGAGTAAAGCAGACTATTCATCAGAAAGGTTTTAGCTTTAAACGGCAAAGTTTTAATCTTAATTCTTGCTTTGCATCCAGGTTGCTTGTTATGATCAAATTAAGGAAACATTACTTCAGAGTGGGTAAGAACACCTTTATGCCCATTACATACTGCAATTGTCTATTATACAAAGTCTCTGAGGTCTGTTCTGTTACCATTTTCCCATCATTTTAATCCTTAACTTTTTATCCATTTCCTAGATACTTTTGTGACAATATCATCACACATTTTACATCGAGTTTTATGGCGGTATGTTGAGGAACAGCAAGATTCACAAGAGACAAACAAGGAAATTTCAAACGAGTGGATTAAAATTTAAAATATTTAATTGTCTTTTTGTAGGGGACAATAGCAACAGCAGTCACTCAACCTTTTGATGTGATGAAAACAAGAATGATGAACTCAACAGAGTATAAAGTAAGAAAACCTTCACTGCAAGGAAGAAAAATCTGTTGTCTCAAGAGGGATTTGAACTCCCTCTATGGGTTTCTAGACTACAGCTCTACCCATCCAGTGATGAAACCAACAGAGATTGGAAGCAAGCAATTATTTGGAGAATATTTTGTGATTTCATCGATATTATAATTCTTGTTATACCAGTTAGCTGGGCAACTTGGCTCTGACTACTCTGTTAATATTGCTTTTGTACATCCTTATCTTCATGTAGAATGTATTTGAATGTTTTTGGCATACAGCAAAGCTTGGACCAATGGGTTTCTACAAGGTACTGCTTCTTGTTTATTGTCTCCATGTAACTCAATTTATTTGCATCATCCTCTGTGTAAGTTGACTTATCTGTTCCATGATTTTCTTAATTCATCACTTCATCTTCCTCTGGGTCTTTTTCATCTTACACATTCCTTCCACTCTCTCATAGCTAATTTTCTATCATCCATTCAGACCATATCTCATTCAAGATATTGCTTCTTCTATTATCTGAACTATGCTTTTTACTCCTCTCTTCTATGCCTTCTTCTCCAGCTGGTTTTCTATTCTACTCATGTGTAAAATGTTCTCAGAGTTATAATTTTTGTACCCATCATGAGTATTTAAGTCTACCATCTTTCCTAAAATCACCTAACTTTTTGGAGGATCAAGAATAATTAACTTTTACAACATTGTTATTTTTGCAGGGATTTATTCCAGCTTGGATACGTCTTGGACCGCACACGATAGTGACTTGGTTAATACTGGAACAACTACGCAGATTATTTCCTCTTTAAATACACACCCATCTGTGAAGCCAACATGGGATAGAGAGAAGAAAATCAGGTCTATACAATGTTTAGATCATTGAACCAATTGTGTTCAGCAAAGAATTAAAACTAACTTTTGTAACTAACTCTTCAGACATCCTAGTACATTTTAATATTCACCCTGCTCCAATGGGCAGTGAACTTTCCTGCTGGAATTACCCAAAGGTTAATGGTGTTTTTGTCCATATAGTGTCCACATAATATGTTTGCAGCAATGTGTTGCAATGCTTTTTATTCTTTTACTGTCTATATGGTCAGATGCTGTGATTTCTATATTATATAGATCATTATTATAAATTATATTAGATAATTATATAAATTGATATTCGTAAATAAAAAAATATCTTCAACATGTAATTCACTGTGTATATTCATAAATAATTTTCAAAACTTTAGATTAATTGTGTTGCGCCAACTCCTTGACATTATCGACAATAACGGGGCACCCAAGATGCGTAAAATAATCTTTCTCGTGTTTGTGTTTTACACCATACACAATAACACTTACATTTGACTCTTTCCACAGCTGAACATAGAGACTGAAAAATGAAAGGAAAAATTTATGAGTGGTGGACATTAAGGGGGGTAGGGGGTGTTAAGAGTCTAGAGACTGCAACTATCTTCACTCCCTAACAATTTCTGAAAACCTGTGAATGGTAACTGTGCAATAAAACTGTTATTACAGTAAAATGTTATTATACAGTAAAGTGTTATTACGGTTTGCACACATGGGTTCTTCACATACAACCGTGGACATAAGACTTGCATACAGTAACCCTTAAGACGATTCCAATCAATATTGCAAAGTTAATGCACATTGACAAAATGTTGGAAACAATGCCAAAACAACTTTTGGTAATTTACCATGATGACACAAGCTCAACATTGAGTTGGGTGAGCGGGAGCTTAAGAAGGGCAACATAATTCAACATGGAATTTATCCTGTACAAATTTTGTATACGAAAGTAGTCTCAACCAGTTATGTCCAAGATTGTCGGTGCAGAAAAAGCCCAAAATGATTTGCTAGATTTTTTTGTAATCCAACATTTACCCCGAAGCTTCGCTGTGATGAGTGATAAGCACTGGAAAACGTAGAATGTGATAGATCCAGGTATGAACAGAGAACTCGACAAGTAAATCCAAACTTCTAGCAATTTTTGTCATTGACCAATGAGAATGCTTCGGCGTGCCATTTCGGTGGTACGATAAATGACGCTTAATCCAGTTCTGGATGACCAAGATATTGGGATCTGCTTTACGGACCTGAAAATAAATGTGTAAATTTTATATTGTACTATATTGGGACTTACATCAGACTACAAAGACCAACTGATAAACTGACATGAGTAAATCCATTTACCAAGTCAAATCCGAGTCATGTAAAAAAAGACAAAATTGAATAAAATTCACAATCAAATAGGAGTAGGGTCCTAAGTCAATGAACTACAAAGACAGCTGAACAGTGACTCAGACATTTGACTTGGTTAACCAACAAAGTCTCAACTGACATCAACAACTGACTGATGGCTCAAACGTCAGATTTGTACATTACCAATATATGGTACATGATGGGGATGAAAGTTCATTTACCTGGTATACAACATTAGGATAAAAAGATAGAACAACAGCTTTCTCATAAAGGTTGTATTTCTTGAAAAGTTCTTTAAGAAGCAGTGCAGCCTAGAAAATAATTGACTAATTGTTTATCAGGATTTTGTAGGGAGGATGGAAGTGGGCCAGTGCACTGTGAATATTAATTTGGGTGTGCAATGGTTGAAGTTGATTTTGACTGTTGCTTGTGCACCTGCAAACCGAAAATCTGGGGTATACCCCTGGAAAATAGACTCACCCCTCTAACCTCCTTTGCAGATGTTAGTGGTTTCTTTCCCACACACATACCTGCTGCAGGAGAGACTACCCCCCCCCCCACACTTAATCATAAGTTTACCTTTACTGAATGCTGATATGCCTTGACTTCAATAAACATTTTTATTCCCAGTTCCAGACATGTCTCGATTGTTTCAACTAGAGTTGGAACTTGTGTGAATGAGTAGTTCTCGCTAAAAAACATTTTATAAAAGATCTAACTCTTGTTTTTGTCTCCCTCTTGGTTAAGTAGTTATAACATTTGGACAGGAAATTAATTTCCTTTTGACCCCTGAGGAAGTTTCATTCAATATACCCACTCCCAAATCCATAGTACAAAGTGTGTCACTTTGGCTACAGAGCCTCGTTCTCATGATTGAGAAGCTTGGATTTAGTAATCTTGCATGAAAATGAGTCTGAGAGTCTCTATAGCCAAATGACATACTTTCTGCAAGGGTGTATTCTAGGGCTAAAAATCACCTAACCCTGGAGAATTCCAAGTTCCTCAATAGGGGGGCATGGTTATTAAATAGACACCAGGGGCCAGTTGTATAAAAAAGTGATTAAAGGTAATCAGAGTTAAGTGGAAATGTCATCCAATAAGAAGTGCCTATTTGAGCAGGGGCATAGCCAAGGGGGGGCAAGGGGGGGTGGTCGCCCCCCCAATCGCAAAAAAACTATTCTCTGAAAAAGGCTAAATCCGTAGAGAAATGGGGGGGGGGGGTACACGTTACATCCTCAAAGCTGGAACGGATTAAGTACGTCTCGACTGAGAAAAACGACGAAATACTGGAAGAACTTGATTTCTAAAATCTCGTTAAAACAGTTGTAGATATGGTTCCAAGAGGAATAGATTTAGATTTACATGTATATGCATTATGATAACATGAATATTCTTCTCATCAGACTTATTCTGTATCATATATAAAAGCGAGTAGAAACTTAGAAATGTCTGGGAAAATTTATGTCTTCGACGTACTTTATAATCTTCGGGATTCTGCAAGATTTCACCCCCAAAATGCTTGAAATCACATTTCAGGGACTCTAAATTTTAAAATTTTCCCTGGGGTGTATGCCCCCGAACCCCCCTAGAGCGTACTTTATAATCTTTGGAATTCTGCAAGATTTCACCCCCAAAATACTTGAAATCACATTTCAGGGACTCTAAATTTCAAAATTTTCACGGGGGTGCATGTCCCCGGACCTCCATAGATGGTCTCGCGCCTTCGGCGTTCGCTTCGCCCCCCCAAAAATGAAGGTCTGGCTACGCCACTGTATTTGAGAGTTAATCACTATTTAATTACAAAATAGTGATTAAAAAAGTGATTAAGAGTTTTATACAACTGGCCCCAGGGCCGTAACTAGACGTGATAATTGGGGGAGGGTTTGAATATTTAAAAAAAAAAGTCAGCCGGAACATGAATATATGAACATACCCTAAAAATTATTGCGTCTAGTTACGCTGTTACGGTCCTGATGACACCACTGAACAATATCAGTTCAACAGATTTGTGTACCTATTTTTAATGTCACCCAATGCATTTAATTTTCTAATCTCTTGTAAAGTGTAATCGCAAACTCCACCAGTGCCATTCGTCGTTCTGTCGACTGTAGCGTCATGTATGACAATAGCATGTCCATCTTTTGTAAAATCTACATCAAATTCAACGGCATCTGCGCCGTTTTCGGCTGCATGACGAAAGGCAGCGAGTGTGTTTTCTGGCGCCTCCATCGTACTTCCGCGATGTCCGATAACAAATGCCTTAGTATTTGCGCCATTTTTTTGAAAAAACTTATCAACTCTAACTTGGTCGAAGTCCTGAAAGCGAAAAAAATGGTGTGCTCCATACAATAAGGCCGAAAAAGTGAAAAAAATACCAAGAAAAGTTAATAAAATGTCCGCCATACTTGAGTAATAAACTAATAATAACCTTTGGCTTTTAAATAATTTGACCTGTGACGTCACCTGCGACGTTGACGTCATTTATGGCTCTAACCTCTGACCTTTTGATCGGGGGGGGGGACTGAGTTATAGCTTAGTAGAGGGGGCCCCTCTCTAGCTAATAAGACCTCGTTTTTATTATACTCTACCCCCTAAAAGAAACAAGATTTATTGGGTTTTATAAGCCTACTGAAAAATGATGGTGAAAAGCACAAAGGGAAACATTTAGAGGTATTTTGGCCTGACAATTTGGATGACAAGTTGTTGTCTTGTTGACAGCTATCAGTAGCAATTTTTTGAATTTTAATTCTTGCTGATTTCAAATTACCTTTCAGGTATGGAGAATTCTACCTAGCAGTTGGAATACCAACTTTGAATATGGTGAGTTTCAATTAGTTTTACCTGCCTCTTTATAATTTGATAGGACTTAATATGCTATCGTCTGCAGTGTGGTTCTGGACAGCAGCAGTAGTGTTACCCTAACCGAGAAAACAAATTGCATATAATTGGCAGCTACTTTTGGAGGCCCGGGCCCCCTCTTTCTAGGATGGGAGGCACAACTTTTTAAATTGGGGGGAGAGTGTCTAGTACATGTTGTAAGTTGAATATAATAATAATAATAATAATAATAATTTATTCAAACAAAGTCCCAATATCGGGACATCGAATACATGGGTAAATAACTAAATAAGCCATTACAATCCATAACAATAACATAAATACTAATATATAAATATGTGAACGAGGTTGATAAATATAAATACACATACATACACACACACACATAAGTAATTAGACCAAGCTATCAAAAGCAGCCAAAACGTCGAAACAATATTTGCCTACTAATTCATTATTGACTTATCATTCATAGCCATAATATATATAAATATTCAGAAAATATCCACTACCATTGGGAGTTCAGATATTTCCTGAATACAAAGCTTTAGGAACAATCTTTACTTCATTTAATCACTTAATATAGGATTGTTCCTCTATATGTGTGGTCATTTGTGTTCCTAAACTACAATTCTATTTATTTGCTTCCAAATGCTACCACATATAATGAATTAGCATATGTTTACTGTTCTGATAAAATAAATTAAAATAATTAGTGAAAGTGACCTATTGGAGACAATAGTTACTGGACAATCACTTATTGCATCTTTCTTTGACAATTTCTAGAATATTGATGTTTAATAATACCACATAGTTATACACTGTCGCAAGTGTCATCTTAGAGTAAGCTAGCTAGCAATCAAACTCCTGTGTTCAGCCTGTGAATTTTATTAACAAAAGTACAACTGCTTTGATTTAATTACTGAATTACAATAGCTAGTTCATTTTTTTAAAAATAAATATTGTTCATTGTTCATTATTGCCATGACAACATAACAACAAACATGAATTTTTGTCAAATTTAGATAAACACACCAACACATTGTTTTTTTTTATCAGAGAAAATTAGTTTGTCGAATTTATACATTAGTACTTGTAAAAAACAACTGATAAAATGGCAATGCCAACCTCGTGCTACTCAGGGTTGACTGCCAATGCTTCAAAGTAATAATAGTATTTACTATTGCTAGGGTTTGCTTTAGCAATTCTGGAACAGAAAATCATAGTTAATCTTGACAAAACTAGTGAAACCTATTTCAGAGCGAAAAAATTTAAATTCTCACGATTGTGTTTAGAAAAGTTATTCATTTGCACTCAATAGCATAAAGAATGCTTCCCCTTTTAGCTCGTTTTACGTTGCAGCACATATTTTCTCGTGGTATTTGTTTTAATACCTTCCTGAAATAGTGCGCAGTTTATTTTGAGCTTGGCGCGGCTTACTGCAGTGTTGTGCCAACCCAAAATATTCCACACAACAGACCGGGCGTTTTGTTGTGTGACGCGCGCGCTGTTTGACTTCTGACAAGCGCACAAAGACGATAAAAAATATCCAGCCACGCTATTGTTCCCGCTCAAATACCGTTAAATTGTTTGGCAAACACGAATCTGGATTTGAGATCGACATGATTTTGCACAGACCCACTGACTCGCGGTGATAGGCGTATTATCTTCCTTTACTGTGCGTCAACGTCTTAAAGTCTAGCTATATAGGGAAGTTTGACTGTGTTCTAAGGAAGTTTAGCTATGTTCCAGTCCGCCTACATGCCCTGGTGAACTTCAGAAAAGCTGACAAAGAGCAAGAAAAATAAACTAAATCCGGCTCTCCTTGTTATTTATTTGTCAGCAATCACAAATAACGTATTATATCACTAAAAAAGTAACTTTTTTTCACGTTATTGTGATAACTGCAGATTGGCCAGCGTAATCCTTATGCTTCAAAATAGCGCTTAGAATGAAACCCACTTCATAAGTATTATCGTATCATTCACTCTCACGAATATTAAGTGGTGATAAATTGTTGTTTTTGAGAATCAAAAAAGGGAAAAAATGAAAATCTTATTGGAATATAGACCGAGTAGGGTAGAAAAACAAGTTACTGAGCAGGAGATATGATTATGCGACCGTTCAAAAACGCTTATTATAGGACCTATCGACTACATGTCTATATTGTTGTCTGTTGATGGTGGAACAACATTTACTTGCAATTCGGACATGTGCGGAAAATAATAAAAAACTACCGGTTTTCGTACGTATAGGTGTGTGATGTGCGCTCTCACGTCCAACGAAACCTTTTGTCAAAAAAGGTCGAGATATATACTTAATTTTCTTGCACCCTGAGTGTTTGAAGATGCATGACCATCATTTATTGAAGCTATCCACTTCAGTCTTTATAGTATATATGCCGGAATATATATACGCTTTAATTGCTGATTGGAGTGGCTTTGCCTTTGGCACACGCCCTGTCTGCGTTCTTTCATTTCCTGCCTTCTTATTTCATTTTTTTTCAAAATCCACTTCAAATAATTCCACTCGAAGTGTGTATATATGTTTTAGGTGTTTATTGCAGAAGAATAATTTCACAAGAAAGGCTGCTGTCTTGCCTGAGAATTATGCTGATTCTCCAGTATATAATCTGTCTTCATTACAAGTCCTTCTTGTAAGCGTTCCTTAATTCCCGTGCATTTTTTTAAAATTGAAAAGCAGCCAGAATCTGGCTTCCACTCTAAGACAAGGTGCGTCCACATTCTTCGCTCAGCCATCAAGCAATTATAGAGCGGCAAACAAACAAAACAGGCAAATGTTTATACACTTTTAATTAAGTTCTAAACTACATAACTTTAACTATTTGATTGCGAGATAATGCGGTCAGCCTCCGTCTATTATTTCGGAGCCACTTTGATGCTTTAGAAATGTCGCCCGCGTGTACTGTTTCGGATTTAGCCTTTTGTGTCAACTGATACAAGTTCAGGTTTCAACGACTGTAGCCTACAAAAACCGCAATGTTTTGAAGAAAAATAGTATTTTTAGTCCGCTGTATGCTATTTTTACAAGTTTCTTCTAATTTTGACCCGTTTCCTACTTGGTAGTTATACGTAATGGGAAACGATTAGGTTTTCATTCTAAGCTAAATTAAACTATAAACTAACTTTATTTATACTGGACAGCTCTATCAATTTAATCTATAAATTGCTCTCCTGAAAAGGTCTACAGTAAGGCCCTTGCCTCATCATAATCCATATCCAGCGAAGTCCGAAGAGAACTTTTTAACAATTTTCCATTCCAAGAATGGAATGCTGATCAGTAATTACACATGCAGATGAAACACAATGCATTGTATAATCATTGTTCCACAATAGTCAGTGAAGAACTAAGAGTCTTCGTGCTTGCATGGGTTGTACACACTGTCATATATTGTCTGATATATAGAGACCATGGATGTGCAGTTAAAAAAGTGTCTCTAATTATTATCCATGATATAGCTAAGTTTATTACACTGTATATATATATAACCATGATGGCTGCCTTGTCAGTTGAAAAAAAAACTCTAAAAAGTAAAAGTATTTACATTTCTTCTCATTTTAAGGATAAGAGGGATTAGACCTGTTGGCTTTGGCAAAGTTTATAATGCATGGTTTTAATCCACGTGAAAACGATCTTCCTAAAATCTTAATCCTATACGGGCTATACTGCCTGTTGAACAAATGTATGGTATTTAACGAGCTCTCGACTGAACGTAAGACTCGCGGACAACGTGTTGTCAACACGTTTCGTTGCAGACGGGAACATTAATTAGAAGATTAATGAGAAATTAATTGGGATCTTGGGTAGTTTGGAGCCAAAATGACGGCAATTGCCGACTTCCCATTCCGGAGTTTTACTAGAAAGATTTTGAGAAAATATGCTCTTCTGTAAGTGGTGTTCCATTTCTGCAATATGCCAGCCAAGCCGAGGGATGAACCTTACTGGACCTCTAGGAAGAACAGTTTAGAATTGATAGAGCTATTCAGTATAAAAAAAGTTAGTTTAGTTTAGGTTTCCTCCTGTAGTAACACTGGATCAATAATTAGAGATGGTCCTTACTGGACCTCCAGGAAGAACAGTTCAGAACTGAAAGAGCTATCCAGTATAAATAAAGTTAGTTTAGTTTAGGTTTCCTCCAATAGTAATACTGGACCAATAAGAGATGATCCTTACTGGACCTCTAGGGAGTACAGTTTAGAACTGATAGAGCTATCCAGTATAAATAAAGTTAGTTTCGTTTAGGTTTCCTCCTGTAGTAACACTGGACCAATAAGAGATGATCCTTACTGGACCTCTAGGAAGAACAGTTTAGAACTGATAGAGCTATCCAGTATAAATAAAGTTAAAATACTGGACCTCTAGGAAGAACAATTAGTATCGATGGAGGAAACCTAAACCTCGACCAAAACTACACTGACGTTATTTATATCATCATATACATATTGCAGGGGTTGATCCCCAATGATAGAAGTAAAATGCACAGCACTATAACAACCGTGCTTCACATAAAGCTTGCTATTATTATACCTCTTCACAGCAGTTGTAGAGAGGCAATCACTCCATGAGATGTAACCGCTCTCAGTAAGCTCACGGCTTCGCTACTGTGGGACGCATGAAACAATCAAGCAGTTGACACCACACGACAAATGATGTAAACAGTCACAGCTAGCTTGTGCCAGGAAGTCTGGCTAGAGCGCTGGGAGAGCGTAGTCAGCGTGTGAACCACATCAAAAGCTTGATTTATTATGCATACACCGGATGGATTTTGTTGGAAAATTTTGAATTAGCTTGCATGATAGATTCAGGTTGGGTATTCCTGGGAACAGCTGTTCGAAAATTTCCTAACTTAAGCTTTATATGAACCTCGCTATTGCATCAAATCCTCAGAGTTTTTATGCATAAACCGGATGGATTTTGCTGAAAGCAATGGAGAACTTTAGATTTGATTTGTCGTGTTCGCGCCAGTCACGAACCATAAGTCCATCGTTTGCTGTCGTCATATATGACCTGCTTCCAATTAGACTTTATTTTATTATTTATTATCTCTAGAAGCCTGGGCGAACACTTTGGAACTGGTAGAGCTATCTAGTATAAATAAAGTGTGCTTAGTTTAAAGGAACAGATAGGGCGTTTATTGTGATATTGTGGTGGGGAGATGTTTGTTTGAAGACAACCAAACCTACCACGGCCGGGGGAAAATGAAGGTCTTCTTTTATACAAAAACATATTTTCTCTAGACTCTACCCAGTGCAATAGAGTCAACAGTAAAGATGTACCAATATAAACAAGGGCGTGTCTTCACTTTTCTTTTACCAACAATTTTTTCGCATTAAGGATTGGACTACGTTGTTTGAAACTGCAATATAAATAACCAAACACACTTGCCAATAGTATATTCATTCAAGTACAAGTGGGTTTCAATAAGCACTATCGTGCAGCAGATGGTGGTCAACACTTAGTTATCAATCAGAGTGAAAAATATAGTGTTAATTCTTTTCACTAAATGCAGTGGTTTTAACTACGATTTTCCGCTAGCCTGTCACTATATTAACGCATGAAGATGCCTTCAAATGGCGGGTCTTACGTCTTTAGTTTTTAAACCACAACTCCTCCCCTCGAGGCGTTGCGTGTCCCTTCCCTCTCCCCCCGTCTAAAGCCGCCCACCGTTTCCTGAGCATGCAGTGGTAAACGTTTTAATCTTATCTCGTAGGAACTTAACTATTTGGAAAGTTGGAGCCAGCGTGTAGGGACACCGTAGACAAACTAAGATAAATCTGATCGAGGCGTCATCGGTCCTGACCGAGGGATTATTATATTCCTCTCAATTTTTAACATCTATGTTTGGTAATGCCCCAAACCTCGCTATGATAGGCTTATCTGGGCACTATTTGTATAGTAAACGCAAATACCACAATGTTTTTGCAAGAGGCTAAACAGTTTTGAGGGTCAAAAGGTGTCCTGTGTATTTCAGCAACGCAATCACGGAGTTAAACCGGAAAGCTTGTAGTCCGCGACCGATGTCTCTATTTATTTACACGCTCAACTCAATAATGATGAAAATATATAATGTATCGACCCAGCATGCGGTTCGAGACTCCTTGTCTACATAAGTAGATTGCCTATCGATCTTTGCGCATTCTAGCTTTGACCGTTGCAAGGCAAACATCACTTGCGCCCAACACAAGAAAAAATTCTTCAAGCTTCTTACTGATCACAATGTCTACAACGTTTGAGCGTGCACAAATGGTAATCACCTGGCTTCTGTTGATTCTCTCCTCGTGGGTCGACACTGGCTCAGCTCGTAGCTTCCTGAAACTAAAATCGAGTCCAAGGAGAATACCTTTGAAAGAAACAGAGAACCCAATCTGGCGCGGTCCACCAGAAAACCATTTTCGCAACCCCAAAAGCAAGCTTCCACAAATACCAAGCCCTTTGCAATCTGATCCGAAAGAGTTAAGAAAAATCATCAAAAAATTCGAACCACTTTATATGTCCATCACAAAACCTCCAGAACTGAATACGACCGAAGAGCAAACTATTTCAAGACGCGAAATTTTCGCACGAATGCCAGCGGAGTTGAAAAATCTACATTTTACGGTGCCGGGGTCGGAGCGAGAACTGGGAGAACGTGCGAGTAAAAAACTTCGACTGTGGCTTTGGAATTTGTCTTCGTGTAAGGTGCTGCCGCTATGGAAGGATTTTGGTCCCACAATTTGGCCGCGTTATGTGAATATTGGTCAATGTCAAATGAAAAAGACTTGTTCGTATCCTAAAGGAATGCAATGCAAACCAGCCAAATACAAGAGGATTTATACACTATTCTGGGTGTGCAGTGAACAGATTCGTAAACTGAAGAAGGGTACTCGATGTATATGGGTTCATTATCCCACAGACGCTATAGAGAAGTGTAAATGTTCGTGCTAAACGGATAACACTAAATCTCTGCAGCTCAATCCGCCGAAACACGTTGCATGCTGTGGCCCTTGAGCTATATATTCCATACGACGATAATTGATACAGTTGAGAACATTATTCGCCGTTCGATTTCTAATTAGAGCTCTGCTGGATGTTCGATTCCGAATTAGAACATAATTTGACGTTCGATTTCAAATTAGAACATTTTGGAGTGTTCGATTTCAAATTAGAACACTTTTGGTCCTTCGATTTCGAAGTAGAACATTATTTGACGTTCGATTGTAAGTTAGCGGAACACTCTGGGCGATGCACTGATGCTCGCAACTCGTGAAAATGTCGCATAAAGACTGTATATTTAATTGGTGACGGTATATATACCTATGAACAAGAATAGAACGTTATTATTTAAATTGTTTTAAAGCTATAGCTAAAGTGATTTCACGCTCAACGAACCCATTTTATAATAAGCGCAAACACAATGCGAAAGAATGACTGCAATCTTTGCAAGACAGATATGAATGGCCGCAAAATGGCTGTAGTGACATGTTATGCAAATACTTGACAAGTGAAAAATTCGCGGTTGGAAGTCAAAGACTTTCTCTAATTCTCGACTGCACTAAATTGCCGCCATGTATACACTAGGCGACAAGGTCATGTCATAAAATACCCTGGGAAAGGTCATCTTGTTAGTGTATTTCGAATTTTGAAATATATTTTTCTACATGTTTGTCAGTGATTGATTTAACTATTTCCGTAGCTCGGTGGTGTGTTTATAAATGTCTCGAAATCATCCAGTTTATACGATTCCCAGTTTATACTTGATTGTAGTTTAACCAGTGGTAACGTTTGCTAAAAGCCAGTGTGCGTATTTATCAATTCTCTCATTGTGTTTGCACTCCTATATGTAGTGTACAAATAGGCTGCGATTTGTAAAACACTTTGAATATTTGACCACCTAAGGTAGTCACTACAGGAAAGAGACCAATTTACACCTCATTTTCAGATTTAAACGTCGCACCATGTTTATGGAATGTGTTGTAAAAACACGCAATTTATAGCTGGGTTTCAGTTGGTGATCAACTTCAAAAATTTTGACACGTTTTGTAGGAGAGAGCAAACTATATCTCTCAATTCTATTTACTTGCCTCCGAATACAAGACTACTACATATAATAAAAAGAATCAAAATTATTTTCTCATTCTGATAACTGCGGGTTGACCACCATCTGCTGCACGACAGCGGAGTGTTTGGTGAAACTCGGCTATAACTTGGTATCTTCAACTGGCTGGTTCTTCCTTATGTATATAATCATACATCATGTTATGTAACCAAACTATTTCTCGTAGGATGTAAAAATTTGTAAATACCCATCTCTTGTATTTATTCATACTGTTTGAAATATAAAGAACTGATATGTTTCTAATTTGTTTTGTTTGTACAAGCTGCGTCAAGTTTGCTATTGGGTTTTCCATGAATGTCACATTATGCCGTCGCAAGAATAATTCACAATAAATTACACGAGGCACTTTTTGCTGCAAAATGCAATTTTTGGGTACAAAGTTATGTTGTCAAAACAGTAGTCTCATAGAAATTGTGCACTGTAAATTTCAAGGTTGAATGAACTTCAAAAGTGAATATTCTGTTACCATTGATTCACTCCTTCAACATGTGTGAGGATTGTTCGCATTCTTATTCTGCCCACACTTTCTTTACCTGACATATTTTTAAAGCCCTGTTTACACTTGCAAATTTTGCTGCGATTTTGGGTTTTTCTCCTTCTGGAGGATATGAAGGAGTAGATTACTTAATGATGTTATTATGAAATTTCATAACCTGGAACATTCATAACTCATCCACTCCTTCACATCCATCAGAAGAAGAAAATTGCCCTAAAATCGCAGCAAAAATTGCAAGTTTAAACGGGCCTTTAAGGGTTGAAAAATGGAAGAAGTGGAATGACTCACAATTCCCTGCGACCACTTTTTAGATAAGATAGCTCTATGTTAGAAATTGCGTTGCAAATTGCATCGTGTAACATGACCGTCTATAAAGTAACAGCTAGTACTGATAAACGTTGCGTGCATTTGAGTTGAATTACAGAGGATTATCGTAGCATTATACCATTAGACCAAGTCTTAAATGTGACATAACATGCTCAGTACCTAAAGGCATATATATATATGAATACGCTAATTCTGAATTTTAGACGAGTTTCAGACATTGGTCAGGAAGCGCTCAGCATTTTAACTCCTTCAAGCAAAACATGCCGCATGTGTTGTCTTGTATTTTCACAACATAAAAACCTTGAGACCATTAATGTTTGTTTTTACCCGCCCACTTCCCTCTTCCGTTTTCTAATTAATATATCAAATACTTTCAACATTGTGTTAAGACGCGCGCTAAGCTTTTGCGCAAACAAAGATAATTTTGTAACTATAACATCAGGGAACTGATTGTACACAAAATAAAGTTGACTCAAGCGTGGATTTAAATATGCACAAGTTATATATAGAGAGTGTATAGTTTACGAAGCAATTACATGATATTCCTACAGCAAGTATTGGCACACGCCTACACTTGAGGCTGATCTAAGTAATGGCTTAATGCTATGCTGTGATAATCTTCTCATTTTTTTTAAACTATAGTCCAAATGATACGCACGCAAAACGAAGAAATATATGATCGACAACTGCTTCATTTTAACATTTAAAAAGAAAATATCGTTTGTATTTCTGATGAATAGTAGAATAACATTCAAGCAGGAAGCTCGCGTAAGGTTGGGGACTAAACAATCTTCATGCCTGCCTACTGTACACGAGTTACGAGAGACTCCAAATATCCTAAGGCTGTCGGTGCCCTACTAAAATGAAGTGATGGAACGCTGTAATCTTTCTTGACTTGTCTAAGTTTTTTTTATATATCCCTTCCTGATTGCTCCCGCCTGTGTGGGAAATTAGTTATAAGATAACCAAAACTCTTTAGGCGTACTCGAGTTCCAAAATACTAAAAGTTTAGCTATAAGCCATCTTAAGTGGCCAAGATTCTAACTGCATGCGATGATTAGTGGTATAATCTTAAGGGGCTGTTCATATGAGCCAGGCCAGCACGGCTAGCCGCGATGAATCGTGTCGCGAATTTTCAGGACCATGAATTAAGATCGTTGGAATGAACTTTATACTGTTGTTGGAATCAAATTAATTGAATGTTTATCAAAGCCGTAATAAGAGCGAATCATTTTGGTTAACTGGGCCAGCCCGGCTTCATATGCACAGCCGGCCCTTTTAAGGCAAGAAAATCATTACTATTTTATTTTAGGCATATGATTGCAAGATTAATTTTTTATTCGCGTGTGAATGAAATCAAAATCTTAAAATGGTAGTCGAAGTTTAGCCAAGGTAAACATGCAGCTTTAATTCCACTTCTTTAGTTATCAGAATCATTTGTCCGTATATTTCATGAAAAGGTGGATTTAAATTTTAAGCTGTTGGATATAGCCGATATACGTTCGATTCCTGCCAGAGGGTCTACAGTTGCATTTTTTGCAGCTGCCCCTGGTTAGCTCTAAAAATGTAGAAAATTTACTCCCGAAATTACCATCTATAAAAATTCTTCATATATACCTCAAATATATGCCGAAAATCCTGATATATACCTAATAAAAGTTCGGTATTTAAACGAAGGCTCTTCAAGGTGTATATATATACGTGACATTAGACACAAACCAACTTATTGTGTACTCAATTGTAGATTTTCACGGACATATGCCTGATATGGATGGCAGTTTCTGCAATCGTCCTCTTAATCTTGCCGTAATCTTGCTCGTGATTGGATTGCGAGACATTGCGTCTCATTTTAAGTCAACAAGTCAATATACAACCTCATTTGGTTCCGAATTTAGTATAGAACACCAAGAAGCGTTCTAATCAGTATTCTAATTAAAACTTAGAACATTGAATTAATATTCTAAATAGCTACATGTATATTGTTCTTTTCCCAATTAGAATCTGAAGAATATGTTCTATATTCGAATTAGAACATTTAGACATCATTCCACGTTCGATTAGAATTCTTAACATGATATTCTAATTGGAACATATCGCAAAATGATTCTTTTTCATGATTGGAGACATCTCGTCTCATTTTAAGTAAATAATACATTGCATACACACGTATCTCTGTAGCCGACAAAAGAGAGCAAAGAATCTATTAGGCTTATAATGCCGTCTCAACTAACTTCTATTCATTTATCATCTCGTCGCGTTAAATCCTTTTTCTTAAGTTTATTTTACGCTATCGACGCCTCTTTAGCTTTCGACAGTGTTTTGCGTGATCTATTGAAATATCAAAGTGTGGCTCAAGGTGAAGATATGCGACTAAGTGGTACTCTCAACACCTTTCTCATCGATTACCGCTCGATTTCTACGGTGATATGACGTATGCCAAAGTATGAGAACAATTTTCGCTTTGGCTTTCAACTTGTTGATCTGACGGCAAGCAAAGGGCCAGCTTATGTATGTTGAGACATTGGAAACTCTTCGTCACAGAGAGTCGCGGTTCGTGTTACAGAGCTATCTGTGTAAAGAAAAGTTCGATTTAATCCTTGTTTGATTTCTGTGGCCTCAATATGTTGTAACATTCTTCTGAATATTTTTTTTCTTCAGGAAGTTGAAATCATGTTTCAATTAGTAAATAATTGGCCAATTTGTTCTACTGACATTCTGTCTACTCATTCGAGTACGGAAGGCGGCCGTCTCTGACCAAATAAGTCAATCAAGTCCCAGTGAGATCAAAATTGGATATAGAAGATCAAAATTATCCCTGGAGCTTTAGGAATGCGTGTTTATAACTTGATAAAATGGTGGAATGAATGACATTAGTGAAATATGTTCTTGCTTTTTCTTGAGTATTTTTTTACTTTATGCATTGTGATTTCGCTTCTTACAAAATAGAAGAATTTGAACGTTTCTTTAACTTCTGCCATATGACAGAGTTCCCTCATGTTTGTCCTTCAAAAACCTTTCTTTAATCACGTTTAATGATTATTAATCAGTCGTGGATTGGCCTCAGTTCCAGCATGTAATTGCAAGGTATAGTGCATCAAATGAGGCGGTGTATTTCTATGAAAGAAAGAAAATTCTTCGTTGCCTATGTTCCAAGTAGAAAACAAGACGTCTACAAGAGTGTACATGTTGCATGTCATCTCTTGGAAAACCGTGAAATCTTTTAGCTATATCAGGCTGTCTATTCCTTGGTCTGTTTCTAAAATTGAAATATATTTAACCCATGCAGTGAACGTCAAAAAAAGACAAATCATCGATCTCACATAGCTATGCTGACGAACACACCAGGTGCCTCGCCAAGGTTATGACGCAGTGAAGGCGTCTTCGAGACTCCGATGTCCTAGCTAAGAATAAACGTAGGTCGATGAGTCAAAACCTCTAAGAAAAACATTCAAACTGTTTTCAATGAGGTGGCAATGAGCTACTAATGTTGGCACGATTATACCTATAGGCTATACGAGACCAATATGGTAACATACTCAGTGAATAAGATAATGCATGAAAAAATGAAGGTTTTAATTCAAACTTGTCTGACGAAGAATCTGACTGATTACGTATGCTAGATCCTTTAAATCAGGCAAAACCTAGTAAGTCCTTATCACAAAAAATGGCCATGACAAAATTAAAACAAATGTCAGAAACGGATCGAGGTTTGTGTTAAAGGCAGATGATAGGAAATGGAATGAAGGGGTTATAAGTTCAAATTGTAACAAAAATAACATTTCCTATACAAGTTGCATTGCTAAAACTGCATACTGTGATGCTGACAAACAGCTTGCTAGGAGGTGATGGGATTACACAATATTTTCACTGACCAGACGTGCACTCGTTTTTCCAAGCCAGGCTATAGGCTGCTAAGAGTAGACGGCTGTGATGGACATTGAATAATCTGGGATGATTATATAGAAGCTGCACGTCCTATCGATCTCATTATATAGCGTACTAGGAGGTTATGAAATTCTATTTAAAACTCTGATTTAACTGAAAGTTAAGATTAATGGACTCTACATAAATAGCAGTTTATTGGCCTTCTTACGAAAATCGTCGCTTGAAATAACGACGTTTTAATCTTTTCAGATGATTCAGTTAGATCGTCTTATACTGTTTTGATGGATCCATATAATAAAAAAACAGGTTAAGGTACTTTTTCAAATAGTTTGAAAAAAATATCTAAGGGGATTTTATAGGGATATAATCATTGAAAATATGCAACAGATACCATGCATTGCTCTCGATAAGCTTTATAGCATGAAAAATAAGGAAAGACTTTCGATTTTTTCACATTCAAGACTCTTCAGAATAAGTTCCTTCAATTTCACTTGTTTATTTAGTTAAGTAAGTTTGTAATACCTA